CCCATAACAGACACCTGTGAGGCAGGTGGGGCTGAGAGAGCTCTCTCGAGAACTGCTGTCTTGAGAACAGCTCAGAAAGAACTTATGACTGACCCAAGGTCGCTCAAGCATCTGCATGTGGAGGAGTGGGGAATCAAACACGGTTCTCCGTGCTCTTAACCACTACACCAAACCAATGTTCCCTCTAAGCTGAGTTAGTGGGAGCTAGCTCACAGTTTTTTAGCCTCTGGCTCACACATTTTTGTCTCGGCTCAGGAAGGGATGGCTCCAGAGCAAACAGATTTATGCAGCAGCCAAACTACTTGCTCACAACTTGAACGGCAGTAGCTCACAAAGTAGAATTTTTGCTCACAAGACTCCACAGCTTAGAGGGAACACTGCACCAAACTGAACCAAGAGGAAAGGTGGAATAGAAATGTTTTAATAAATACATACATACATAAAACAGATGAGCTGGAGGCTAAAAAACAACGAGCTAGCTCCACAAAGTAGAACTTAGAGGGAACAGACTCCACAGCTTAGAGGGAACACTGCACCAAACTGAACCAAGAGGAAAGGTGGAATAGAAATGTTTTAATAAATACATACATACATAAAACAGGGAGGACGTCCTGGGCTGCAGATAAATAAGACTAAATATAAAGGTGACGGCAAGAGAACAAAAAGGAGATGTCGACAAATGGGTGCTGCTTGAAGGGCACCTCCTTACCCCACAAGCAAATTTCCCTCCGTAACTTGAACGTGGCCCCAGGGCTTGGCGCGAAGGCTTCATTCTTGAGCAAGTCTATCCTGATTTCCTGTCCCTCCCACTGCAGCTGTGCCTTCCTTTTCTTCTTCCGGTAGGCCTTCTCCAGGTGGTAGTTGGTCGCCGTGTCAAAGGTGGACCAGCCAGCCTCGGTCATGTGGTGCCACTGGACGGTTTCGTGCAGAAGTTTGGACTCCAACCACTCCTGATGGTCCTGCTCGATCTTTGCATGAGTGGCTTCCTCTATCTTGGCGTAAATGGCTCCCAGGACATCTTCGACGTCTTCTCGAGAACCACAAACCCGGACGACTTTCTCTCTCAGGTAACAGAGAGCGACGGGAAACTGGTGCGGGGTGTTCTTGCAGAGGTCGTGGAGGGCCTCGTCACCAAAGGACGGTAGCTCTGTGCTGCAGACGGTTTCTTCGTGGAAATCGGCAAGGAAATCGGCCACGTCTTGCTTGAACAAGGTCACATCACGCTGCTGGCCTACTGCGTGGATCACAGCACAGCTGATCTCCGCCAAACCCTGGGGGGGGGGGAAGAAGAAGAAGAGATTGGATTTATACCTTGCCCTTCACTACCCAAAGGAGTCTCTAGGCAGCTTACAAACTCCGTCCCTTCCTCTCCCCACAACAGACACCCTGTGGGGTAGGTGGGGCTGAGAGAGCTCAGAGAACTGCTCTTGAGAGAACAGCTCTGAAAGAACGTATGACTGACCCAAGGTCACACCAGCAGCTGCATATGGAGGAGTGGGGGGAATCAAATCCGGTTCTCCCAGATTAGAGTCCAGCCTCCTAACTACTACACCACGCCAAAAACTGTGGCTTAGGATCATTTAAAAAAAGCCTTGATCCAAGACTATGGACATTCATTTCATTCTACATTCTTAGATTCCCCGCCCCACCCTGTCAGCTATGCTGCCATGATGTTTATGGGCTGGGGTTCATTTGCTTGACCTGTGTACCAGCCGCTGCTGCATTTCTTCTTTGCTTTGGTAGTGCTTCATTATCACTGACCTTCAGAGGTTGATTCGGGGGGGGATCGCGGGGGATCGCAGTTCCCCTGGGTGAGGTGCAGGGGGCGGGGCACATGACGAAGCCCCGCCCCCTGCTTCCGTCCGCCCCGCTTCCAGCCCTCATTCAGCCAGGAGGAGGCAGGAGAAGAGGGAGGGTAAGTTGCTTCCTCCCCGCCTCTCCCCACCACTGCCTGCCTGGGGCCAGGGAGGGCCTTGGCAGGGCTTCCTCGCACTCCCGCCGGCCTTGCAGGTCCACTGCTGGGCCCCTGATGTCAGGGGGTGTGGCATATGCTAATGAGTTATGCTAATGAGTTCCCCTAGCTCTTTTTCTACGAAACGACCCCTGCTGACCTTGTCGATTGCAGTGTCTGGACATCATATAACCGTGGGACAGCTTTCGGATAGCTTTCGATTCCCAGCTTCAGCTCTAACGGCCTGGGGGGCCCTCTCCCGCACGCGGGAGTCAGGCCAATTAGCCTATGGATGGGGGGGGGTGCATACGGATACCCTATATCCCATTGTGCTTGTAGAAACGTCACCATTCTTAACAGTGACCATGTTACTGCCTCTATAGCTCTGCAATAAAGTATAACCTTTCTGACAAGCGTGTATTCAGTTTTTGGCTGTGGAACTTGACACGCCCCCCTTTTAGCTAAACCTGACTTCCAAAGCAAGTTCAGTAGCTGCGATTATTTTTTTAAAAAATACAAATGTTCTAGGTGGGAAAGAGATGCCAGCTCCGGCTGGAAGCCATGGTGGTGGAACACCTGCCTTCTTCCAGCCGTCTCTTCAGACATTTTGTGGCTCCCATTCAAAAACTGCGCCCAGTTTTAAATAAATAATTTCCCCAGCTAGCCCATGACCAAAACAGTACAATAGATTCCCAGCTAGCCTATTACCAAAAGAAGAAGAAAAAGAGAAGAGATTGGATTTATACCCCGCCCTTCACTACAGGAAGAAATCCCAGAGTGGCTTAGAGTCTCCTTTCCCTTCCCCTCCCCACAACAGACGCCCTTTGAGCAATGCTCCCTCTAAGCTGTGGAGTCCTGTGAGCAAAAATTCTACTTTGTGAGCTCCTGGCATTAAAGTTGTGAGTGAGCGATTTGGCTACCGCATCAATGAGTTTGCTCTGGAGCCATCCTTCCCGAGCTGAGACAAGAATGCGTGAGCCGGAGGCTAAAAAACTGTGAGCCAGCTCACACTAACTCAGCTAATTCCCAACTCAGAAAGCCCCTCCAAATCAATACTTAACTAAGCAAGCCCATCTGGAAGACACAGGTATGCATTCCTTGTGTTCACACTGGCCGCTGATCAAGCGTGTATTTGAAAAGGGGATGGAGAGAAACAAATCAATCTACCAGTAATTTATTGCAGTCGTGGACCAGCAGAATAAAACAGGCATTAGCAGCATGGAAACAAAGTCAACACTACACTTACTTGCTCCCCGTCTCCACTGGTATTGGCGACCCCATCACAACGGCCAGGGCTCCTCTGCATTTCCAACCTCGCAATGCAATGCTGTTCTTGGGCCATTTCGTGCAGCGTCTCTGCTCCAGCCCCAGAGAAGTATTCACCCAGAGCCACCTTCTTCAGGGGCAGCTTACCGAGCACCAGAGAATCCAAGTCCGTTTTCATGACTGGTATGGCTTCCCTCACAAATTTCTGGACGCCGCTCACCTTCAGGGACAAGATCTGGCTGTCTGGCTGGACCTGGATGTTCACTTCAAGATGATCCCAGTCCATTATGTGGACGAGATTCTCCCCAACTAATGCTAGTTCTGGCCTGGTGACATTCAAGCGTTCCTCCACTTGAGAATGGTCTTCCAGGTACTCCTTAATAGATTCCTCTACTTGAGTGATATCGGGACAGATGCCAACCATAAAGAGCAGGCCGGATGAAGTATGATGAAGAGCTACTTCCCGGTGGGACTCCAACCTGTGCAGCAGCTCCTGCCAGTCCTCACACTCAGTGGCCCATTTCACCTCCTCGGGTATCTCCATTGTCTTCTCACACACATGCTTCACAATGAGCTCTTCCGCCTTCTTCATTGTACCCAAGTCTAGGCCAGAAACCCGGACAGCTCCAGAGATCTCCAACATGGCAGCGATGCCCCGTCCCAAGAAGAAGTTCTTGTGGAAGTGGCTGCCCCACTGTGCCTTGACAAACTGTGACTGGAGATGTGACAGAGAGACTGGAAGAACCCGGAAGCCACCAAGCACCTCCTTGAAACACCTCTCCAGTTCTACCACATTTCGACGGGGCCCCTTGAAAATGACAGTTGCTGGATTTCCAGCAAGGATTTTTGAGCTTGCAGGAGGATTGGATGGGAGCATCCCATGAACCAAGAATTCTTCTACAAAGATGTATGGCACTTTCTCATACCGAGCCACAACGTCTATCCATTCAGCCTGGTATTCCTCGATCTTGGCATGAATCGCTTCCAGAACGTTCTCCACATCTTCCTGGAGGCCACAGATCTGAAGTTCATCCTCCTTCAGACGATGGAGGTCGATGGGAGACGAAGGTGATGTGCTACTGCATAGTTCCTTGAGGAACTGGTCGCTGAAGGTTGCTATTGCTTCATTGTGGAGGTTTCGTTCATGGAATTTGGCTATGAAACTAGTCATGTCTTGTTTCAGTAAGGACACATGGTTCTCTGTGCCCAGTGCATCAATCACCCACAGGCGGTTCTTAACCAATCCCTAGGGGGTAAAATACCAAATCTCAAATCAGAGCCATTGTATGCCTTGATGTGGGTCTATGTACAAAATACACTAATTTGATGTCCCATCTAGGCCACCACTCCAGAACAAAATCAGAAGAAGCAGTTTCCTTGGGGGGGTGGTTCTATCCTTATTTTAGAGACAGAAACCTGAATGGCCCCCTCCACCATAATAAGAGAAATCCAACAGAACTTAGGAGAGCCTGGGTCTCAGCAAAAGAACAACTGGACTTCAACCAATGCTCCCTCTAAGCTGTGGAGTCTTGTGCGCAAAAATTATACTTTGTGAACTACTGGCATTAAATTTGTGAGTGAGCAATTTGTTTTTTGTTTTTTTATAAGCCCCCAAAGGGGATTTTTAATTTTTTATATATATCACTACAAAAACTACAACAGAAAAGGGGGAGGGAAAACTACATTTACGGGATAAAGCAAAGAACCCACTACTAACTAAAATACCAAGAGGGGAGATCCTCCAACTAGCTTAGTTACATTCGATCTTCCATCATTTATAACATTATAAACTGAGTCAAGCTTTTAAAATTAATATTTGAAAAAGTGTGCCTGGCACAGAAAAGCTCCTACCTTGAATAAACCTTTGTGGGTCTTAAAGGTGCCACGGGACTCTAAATTTGTTCTCATGAAACAAGGAAGTATAACAGAAGCTACCGGAGAATAACTCAAACCGCACTGCACTTACCTGCTGTCCAGGTCCGTCGCTGTGACTCTTGGTCCCTCTACCCGAACACTCAGCGATATCTTGTATCCCCAACGTAACAACACAATGCTGCCGGAGGGCCATTTCCTGCAGCAGAGCTGCTCCAGGCCCAAAGAAGTATTTCCTCAGGGACTTCTTCCTCAGAGGCACCTTACCTAGCACTAGGGAATCCAAATATTTCTTGATGACCGGTATGGCATTCTGCACGTATTTCCGGATGCCGCCCACTTGCAAAACTAAGTTCTGGCTATCGGGTAGGACCTCTACGCTCACTCGGAGATGCTTCCAACTCATGATACGGAAGAGACTTTGCTGGGCTTTGACTAGTTCTGGCCTGTCGGAGGTTATCCTCTCTTCTACTGGAGAATTGTCCCACAGATACTGCCGGATGGCTTGCTCCACCCGAGTGACGTGAGGACAGATGCCAACTATTGTCACCTGGCTAGACGTGATCGTAGGAAGGGCGATTTCCTTGTGGGACCCCAACCTGTGCAGGAGTTCCTTCCAGTCCTCACACATGGTGGCCCATTTCACCTCCTCTGCTATCTCCACGGTCCTCTCACACACGTGCTTCAGGAGCAGCTCTTCCGCTTCCTTCATTTCACCCAAGCCGAGGCCAGCGACTTGAACTACTTCAGAGACCTCCAACACGGAAGGAATGCCTTGCTCTAAAAAGAAGGCGTCGTGGAAGAGCTTACCCCACTGGGCCTTGACAAAGTGAGACTGGAAGTTCGACAGAGGGAGCGGGAGGACTTGGAAGCCACTGAGCAGCTCTCTGAAGCGCCTCTCTGCCTCCTCCACTCTATGACGGCGGCCCCCAAATCTGATTACTGCTGGAGGTTTGGTGAACATTTCAATGGTTACAAGAGTGTCGGATTTGAGAACCTCCTGGACCAAGACGTCCTTTGCGATGGTGCACCTGCCCAGGGGTTCAGCCGAGCCTTCCTGGCTCACCACCTGTCTCTGGAAGGCCACTCGGAAGAGGCAATGCAAGAAAGAGGCCAGTTCATCACAGAGGCCCACCAACCACATTCGGTCATTGAAGAAAATCCTGATGGATTTGAACTCATTCACAAGGGTCTGTTGTTCAAGAAGAGCTTCCATCACATCTGTCCTGGTCTCACAGTGCATCAAATACTTTTCCCGCATGGACTGGAATGCCGTCCCCAAGTCATACAGCTCCACGGACGGACTCGTGGCACTGAACATCAAAATTCCCCAAGAAGAGGACATCTGGATGCCACAACCGACCTCCTTCAGTTGCATCTCGAACTGATGAAAGGCATCTGGACTCTCTTTCAGGTACTGGAGGAAAAGTGGGTCCTCCGGGTGACAGGCACCCACAAGTTCTGAAAGGAAAGTGGGTTTATTCAATATGAGGCCGTATTTTTACCACAGGAACACACAAGGAATGTAGTTCTCCTTGTAATTCTGGGAGCTCTCCAGGCCCTACCTGGAGGTTGGCAACGTTACAAATCATAATCATGAACATGATAAAGGGTTGTGATCAGGGCTATTTTGGGGCAGGAACGAACAGGAACGGAGTTCCGGCTGGCTCCCAAGTTGGCCACGCCCAGCAGGAACTCATTAGCATAATAGGCCACACCCAACAGCAGAAACTCATTAGGATTGGCTACATTCGGGGTGTTTTTCAGGGCCCATTTGTACACACTCTAGAAGAGCTGAGCGCTGATTGAGAGACCCACCACTTCACACTGTATACACATATCTCCTCTGGTCAAACGGGTTTTACAAAACCAGATTACCAGAGAAGGAAATACACACACACACACACAGGGCTATTTTTGGGCAGGAACGCACAGGAACGGAGTTCCGGCTGGCTCCCGAGTTGGCCACGCCCAGCATGAACTCATTAGCATAATAGGCCACACCCAATAGCAGAAACTCATTAGGATTGGCTACATTAGGGGTGTGTGGCCTAACATGCAAAGGAGTTCCTGCTACAAAAAACCCCTTGGTTTTGACAACAAACAAGGTAAACAGAATAAGAAGCAAAAGGTGTGTGTGGCTGGATGACCACACTTCTGGTAACATGGGGGTGTGGCCTAATGGGCTCATGAGTGGTGCTGTCAGGGTGTGGCCTAATATGCTAATGAGTTCTTGCTGTTGGGTGTGGCCTATTGTGCTAATGAGTTCCTGCTGGGCTTTTTCTACAAAAAGAGCCCTGCGACACCAGAAATCACTCTTTTACAACACAAGTAGCTACCAGAACAGAAACAACCCTTTCGAACTGTTTTCAACTCCTCAAAATCTTTTTAAAAAATCATTGTCTACCTCAAGCTTTAACCAACATCAGTCCCATGAGCCCAAAGGCCATTTTGCACTCAGACTCCAAGCGCTTCCTATATCACTACGCAACACAAGCAAATGTACTATGTCAGTGATGGCGAACCTTTTAGAGACCGAGTGCCCAAACTGTGACCCAAAACCCACTTATTTATCGCAAAGTGCCAACACGGCAATTTAACCTGAATACTGAGGTTGTACTTGAGAAAAAACAACTCATACATTAACTTAAGATGATCCAAACAAAGTAAGGAAAGCAATCCCAAATGCTTTCATTTACTTAAAATTATTTGGCAGAGAATTTGACACTTTAATGATGGTCTGGGCCTGGCTGGGGCAATGGCACGCGTGCCCACAGAGAGGGCTCTGAGTGCCACCTCTGGCACCCGTGCCATAGGTTCGCCACCACTGCCACAACACCACAAAACTTTATTTGAGATGTTCATGAGGGGAGGAAAACCTCACTCGATCCACTGTACACACAGTCCCTGCCACACGATGAAAACCACCACGGTGGCTTTCACGAAGGAAGCAAAAAGGTTGTCCTTAAAAATCCCCCACACCTGTGCTTGGATGGCTATTATGCGGAAGAAAATACCCCTAAGTTTGTGGGTGTTTAACTGCTGTTTCTCCCCAACTGATTACTGGGTTCTTTTATCTAGCGTTGCTGTGGCTGGATTTTAATGGCAATATTGTATTTCCATTACATTTTAAAGTCACTCGGTGGACCCTTCTTGTGCAAATGTTGGAATAAAAAAACCCTGAAATAAACAGGAAAATGATTTGGCAGCGATGGCGACATACCTACGCCAGTAGTGATGCAGTC